AGTAATATATTAGCTAAATTAGTAGAACAAGAGAAAAGAGAAATTCTATTAAGAAACTATCTATAGCTAAAATAACTTAAATAAATCAGATGACTTTTCTTGGTATGATCAGATGATTGTGATGTAGTAAGTTACATATAGTATAGTATGTAGTGTAGCAATAATTTGTAAGATAAAAAATAAATATAATATAATTATTAATAACTAATCTAATTTTGTTACAATATTATATAATAATACTAATAGAGTTCAATAATAATTATACTATATATTAAAAATTAGTATTATTTATATTATTTTTAATAAAAAATATAATTATAATTTACTTTATTTTGAAAAAAAGTAGAGAAATATAATTATTACTATATATAATATAATAAAATTTCTTTATAATTATCTTTTTAATTATTTAATTATAATTAAAAAAATTTTTATAATTATATTTTTTTATAATTATTTAATTTTATTTTTTAAGTATAATAATTATAGAAAGATTTAATTATATTTATATTTATTAAATATTTTTATTTTATATATTATATAAATTTCTTAACTAAAAAATAAATTTAAAATTTAATTTATAGATATTATAAAAAAGATTTATATTATTATATTTATAAAATATAAATATTTAATAATTTATAATATTATATAATATAAATTTTAATTTTAAGTATATATTATAAAAATATATTTATTATTAAAAAATTTTATTTTTTATATATTAATTATTAAAAATAATATATTTATTTATATATTTTATTTTAAATTATAATATTTTAATATTTTTAATTTTTAAATAATATTTAAATAATAATTATTTAAAAATAAAAATAATCTAAAAATTTTAAATTATAAATTAATAACATATATAAATATATAAATTAAGTAAGAAAATATTATTAATATAAAAAAATATATTAAAAAATATAAATAAATAAATTAAAAAATAAATTAAAACTTATTTAATATTCTAATAATTATTAAAATAGTGATAATTAAATTTAAATTTATATATAATATATAATAAAAAATCTGATTTTCTTCATAAATATTCATTTATATAATATAAAATTTAAATAAATATATTTAGAAATATGATAAATAACTTTATTTAAAACTACTTAAATACTTATTAAAATTTTTTATAATTTATATTTTTAAGATTAAAAATTTTTAATAATAAGAGAACTTAAAAAAAATTATTATAATTAAATTTGATTATTATTTTGTAAATTAATTATAAATAAACTTATTTATTAGATTATTAAGTATATATATTTCAAATTATATATAATTTAAATAATTATTATTGAATAATAAATAAAAAAAGATTAAAAAAATATTATAATCAATTTTTTCAAAAAAATTTTAATAAAAAAAAATATTAATAAGAAAAAATTTTATTAAAATAAATTATTAAATACTTTTAAATAAACTTATTTACTAGATTATCAAGTATATATATTTAAAATTTTATATAGTTTAAATAAATATTGATTAAATGTAAATAAAAATAATAATTTCAGTTTTTTTATTATATATTATATATTTTATAATATATTATTAATATTTTAAAAGTAAATCTATTATTTTAATCTAATATTTCAAAATTAATAACTTTATTTAAAAGAAGATATTATTATATAGTGATAATCAAAAATAATATAATACTTAAATTTTTTACTAATTATAATTAGTAAAAAATTTAAATATTGTATTATTTTTGATTATTACTGTAAGTTTAAAATTAATTCTTAAATAGTTTGAATAATTTGAATAAAAGTTATTAATAATTAATTCTATAGATATTTGAATAATATTTTAAACTGATTCAAGAATAAATTCTATATAAGATTTATATATTTGAAATAAATTTTATAAAATTAAATTAAATTATTAGATTTGATATATTAATTTTTATATGATAGATTTTTTGAAATTTCTATTAAATTAATTTATTAAATAACTTTTATATTAAAATTAAATAAGATTTTTTAAGTTAATAATTTCAGTATTAATAATACTGTATAATTAAAATTTAATAATAATAAATTATTTTTATATAAGTTTTAAGTTTTTTAATTACAGTGAAAGTCAGTATAAAATATCTAATATTGCATTAAAATGTCAATTTTTTATTATAAATCTTATATATATTAATTAAATTGATAATCAGAAGTAATTAAAATATTTATTTTATATAATAAATGCCAAATTTTCAATCACATATAAAATTTAATGTGTTATAATTTTAAAATTATAATTAATCAAAAATCTATTTTAATAAAATTGTAGCTTAGATAAAAAGCAACAAATCTGTAAGAGAAATTTTTGCTAAAATTATTTATTTTTAAGCTATAACACTTTTATATTACATATAAATATTAGATATCTTATGCTGTCCTTCACTATATTTTTTATTTAATAAATTTTAAATCAATTAAAATTTCATTACCAATTTTCTATTTTATAAAATTATTGAAGAATTGAAATTTTTAATAACTTATTAGTTTTAATATACTTAATAAGTACAATAATACTTTTGCTCTCTTATTAATAATTTCTTTTATTTAGAAAGTATAATAAATATATTACATAGCACAGCTATAATAATATATATCGAATGAGAAATATATTTTAAATAATTAGACTTAAATATTAAAACAAAAAATTTTCTTTATTTAATTTTAATCTCTTTGCCTAGATTTATCAAAATCAACATATCTTCTTAGTCATAATTAGAACAATTTTAAAATATTCCTTCAATCAAAGGTTTACAATTTTAAAATCAATTAATGTGAAGTATTATCCTATAGCTAATTTGTTCGACTAATCTTACAAAATTTTGAAAACAATTACATGTATTTTTGGTGCTCATTATTATTTCTTTCAATTATTCAATGGAAGTTAATAACATTTTTAATTTTTTTTTATTTTAAAAAGCGTTGTTGTGATACGAATTACATGTACATGTAATTGGTTTAATTTTAATCTTGAGATTTGATTGGTAAATTGTACAAACAAAAGCCACTTTGTTTTAACGTCAAGGTGTTTATACAAAATTAGATGCAACTCTGGTGACTCAAGATACATACATATACTTTTTAAACAAGAAAAGGTCTTGCCTCGAAGCTTATATTTATACCGCCGATCCAGAACACATGCATCGAATATCGCAGGATTTTAACGTTACAAATCCAATTCCGGAATTTTATGTTGCTGTGTTATAGCAATACGATAGCATATCTGGTTCATGGTTTTATGCACGTACATGTACATGTACCTGCGCAAACAAAATACATGTACGTTTTTCCTTCTTTTTATTTTTTTACCTTTATAGAACATGAAACTGTAATGCTTTGTGATACCTTTCGAAAAGCGAATGTTCCACGTTTTACATGTGCATGTACATTCCCAAACAATTTGAAATTAAAGTTATCATTTAAAAAGACATGTACGAGTAAAAGTAACCCTTGTTTTTTCTCAAATTCGAATTTTTTTGCATCCATAATTTTTTGATATTTAAAATATACTTCAAGTTAATAATGTCGGAGCCGCTTCCTCAAGGATGGTTCGAATACGTATGTTGAAGTTGCTTTAACGTTAGAATACATAATGAGAAAATTCATAAAACGAATAATCCAACTTTTATTATTAGTATGATCCAAAGACCGGGCGAAATTATTGTAATACTCTCAATTTTATGTTTATTGTTTATTTCGCATATTTTCAAATAGGAAATCAATTACTGAGACGAGTCAATTTTAGATGTGTCTCAAGAAACTGGCCAAACTACTTGGGTAATTATAGTTAAATATATTCCTTATGATAATGCATTTGTATTAAGCACCCGAAATTCTTAATAACAAAATAAAAGTATGATCCTCGAAGAACACCAGCGCCTGAAAATGACAATAAAAATAATCTAATTGCAAGACAAGCATCAATGTCTTCGTCTATGCATTCAGTATCAATGTCTTCGCCTATGCAATCGACAGTAACAGCAGCGCCTATAAACGGCAACATAAATAATCCAATCGCCGGAACAGTATCAATGTCTTCGCCTATGCAACCAACAGTGACAGCAGCGCCTATAAACGACAATAAAAATAATCCAATTGCAAGACAAGCATCAATGTCTTCGTCTATGCATTCAGTATCAATGTCTTCTATGCTACCAGTATCAATGTCTTCGCCTATGCAACCGACAGTAACAGCAGTGCCTATAAACGGCAATATAAATAATCCAATCACCGGAACAGCATCAATGTCTTCGCCTATGCAACCAACAGTGACAGCAGCGCCTATAAATGACAATAAAAATAATCCAATTGCGAGACCAGCATCAATGTCTTTGTCTATGCATTCAGTATCAATGTCTTCTATGCTACCAGTATCAATGTCTTCGCCTATGCAACCGACAGTAACAGCAGTGCCTATAAACGGCAATATAAATAATCCAATCACCGGAACAGCATCAATGTCTTCGCCTATGCAACCGACGGCGACAGCTCAATACTTGCCTAATAATCCTTCATCGCCTATACAATATACGAATGAACCCTTTGCAATGTCTCCAATACAAGAAGCAAACAATAATATCTATTTCGATAATACACTGCAACAACAGCAGCCAGGTTATGAATATCAACAACAGCAACCAGGTTATGAATATCAACAACAGACCACCCAACCGGATGCAACCAAAAAAAAGACCGACTATAAAAAAATCGACAAAACTGCAAAGAAAGTTGCTCATTCAATAGGCGGGCTAGTTGGAACTTTTGTAACAGGAGCAATTAATCCGCTTTCTTTAATTCCTCGAGGTAACAATAAGAACAGCAATTCTAACAATGCTAATATGCTTCAGCAACATTCACAAATGTTATCACTCATGGAACAGCAACACCAGACAACCATGGCACATTTCGAGGTCATGACAAATTTTGCTGCTGCACAACAAGAAGCCCAGAGAATGCTTCAAGAAACTTTAACTCGTATCGTAATCGCCGAAAAAAGAGAGCAAGAATTAAATCAAAAAATAGCTCAGATGGAAGCTGTGCTTAATAACGCCAATCAACCAGATAACTTGAACACACAAGAAGTAACACTAAATCAAAAAGTAGTAGATACACCGGCGGCCAATTACGAGTCAAATAGAAATTTACCACAGAAATTTCAGGGACTTCAAGGAAATCAACCATTGAATGAACCAGAATCTCAAGTAAATCAAACAATGAGTCAACCATTGAACAATCCTGAATTTCAAGCAAATCAGCCAGCGAAAATCCCCGAATTTCAGGTCAACAATCCGGTTAATTTTTCTGAATCCCGGGTAAATCAACAATTGAAAACACCTGAAGCCGAAGCAAATCAATTTCAAGTAAACCAATCAAACCAGCCAGGGAAAACTCCCGAATTCCAGGTCAACCATCCAGTTAATTTTTCTGAATTGCAGATAAATCAGCAAATGAAAACTCCTGAATTCCAAGCAAACCAGCCTGTCAATATGTCAGATAGAGTTTATGCTCAACAAGAGAATATTCAAGAATCAAAAGAAATAGATAATCAAGATGTAAAAGAAATTTCAACTCGATTAGAAAATATTCAAGTTTCGAAAAAGGTTCACGAAAATTCTCAAAGGATTGCCACGTATAGTCAGCTCTCCCTAAATGCAGCTTCCACAGATATCGCAAATTCTATCTAAAGCTTGTTAATCAATCAAGAATGTTTACAGGAAGTATCCTCATGTAATTTGATTTTCTCACGACGAGATCTAGCTCGAAAAAATGAGACAGACGTTACCAATTATAATAACAGATTGATACTATAAGGCCTGGATTACTATTTTTGCTTCCATCTCATAAATTTGCAGATTTTTATTAGACAATACATTATTTTTTTAACGTTTAGGACGCGTATATGTATATGATTTAATCTTAGAATATCATAATTTAGCGTTAATTATAATTAATTTATTAATATTAGTCCCAATAAAGAAATAGATTTTTTGTGAATAGCGAAAGTATTTTTGGCATTCTATATTGATTTACTATTAAACGACATAACGATAATCGCGATAACTATTACATTCTCGAATGCACACTAAGATTTCAGATTAATAAAAAAAAGACATTTTCATCATTTTTGGCTAAATATTAAATCATTCATAACGATAACCTCGAAAGATAAGTCGTTCTTTAAATACAATCTTTTTAATAAAGAAAAATCCTTGGCCATCAAAAAGGAAATTTCAAAAATTTTCGTATTTACCATATTCAACAAGTCCATTTACATGTATTTATAATGCATATTGTGTACAATGTATAACAACACGACACAATAACGGATATTGATATAACAGAACAATGTGGGTGTGCAACACCAATCACATATTGTAATCAAATAAATTAGAAGAAACGTTTGACAGAAAATCTGAACCGATTTCTCGAATAGTAACTGTAATACAATTTAATATTCATGATGTTTGTTTTTTTAATTCATTTTCGCGTGTTCTATAAAATATCAAATATAAAAAAAATTAATATATATATATCTCTATATACGTGTCCTCTCTCGCAAATTTAGTAAATAAGCATTTACCATCTTTTAATATTTAATATATCAGATAATTTATGTGAAAAGGCTTCTTGGCATTAGTATCTTTTTAAAAATGTCTGGACTATTGTTGCCTGCTGGATGGAAGGAAACAGTAAGTACCAAGAAAGATGATAAGGCGGACGGAACGGCTCGAAGGAAAATAAAAGATACTAACATATTCATTCAACCAATCTTTTTCTTTCTAGTACGATCACACTACACAACGATATTACTGTAAGTAAAAATAAAATCATTCGTTTATTATGTGTATTTTTCATCACATTAATCACCAATAAAATATATAGATGTCGAAACAGCATCAGGAAGAACATCATGGGTGAGTGCTTAATTTTTCACGCTGCTGGCTATTGAACTTATTACATTTTCTCATTTTTATCCCCTTGATTCTAGGAGCATCCGGGAATTTGGCAACAGCAACAACAATCACAACAATATAACTATACAGCGGTCCACTCAACATATTCTTCACAACAGCAACCGCCGCACGCTTCATACTCTGATAACCATTATTATAATGCTGCAAACGTGAATCAACATCAACCACCATCATGTTCAAATTCGAATGCACATTATTCTGTCGGTCAGACTTATCATAATAATCAGCTTCAATCTCCTCAATATAACGATAATAAAAATTCTTCTCCACAGCCTTTTTATTTTGTTATCCCACAGCAACAACAGCCTCAGCATCACGCAAATAATCAATTATCACATTCCAACCAAATTCTTTATCAAAATCAACAACATTCAATATCGCAATATTCTACAACTCATCATTCTCAACAACAGCAACCGCCATTTTTTCAGCATACACATAACATTAATAAAGCATTTCCTGGTGGATTTGTTCTTCCGGATCAAAATCCATTCTACAAGATTCAAACTACGCCACAGAATTCCGGATTACCGACGAATTTATCTCAACAAACGTTACCTCAATCGCCTCAACAATCACAAAATCATCAACAAATACCTAATTCATTAAAGCCTGGTTCTCGTATTTCTCTTTCACAGCCAAATAATTCGCCGATACAGAAACAACAACAAATGTTACCTCAATCGCCTCAGCAATCACAGAATCATCAACAAATACCTAATTCATTAAAGCCTGGTTCTCATATTTCTCTGTCGCAGCCAAATAATTCGCCGATACAGAAACAACAAGCGTTACCTCAATCGCCTCAACAATCACAAAATCATCAACAAATACCTAACTCATTAAAGCCTGGTTCTCATATTTCTCTGTCGCAGCCAAATAATTCGCCGACACAGAAACAACAACAAGCGTTACCTCAATCGCCTCAGCAATCACAAAATTATCAACAAATACCGAATTCATTAAGGCCCGGTTCTCAAACTTTTTTCCCACAGTTAAATAATTCATCGATACCGAAACAACAACAAACCTTACCTCAATCACCTCAGCAGTCACAAAATCATCATCAGATACCGAATTCATTAAGACCTGGCTCTCAAATTATTTCGGACCAACAAGGGAAAAAAGACAATAATAACAATGTAAATAAAAGTCATTTCAATATATGAATTATTAATCAGATTTGATCTTTTAAATTCTAATTAATCTATTCTGAATGGTTTTTTCATACTAGCAAAAATCATCAGAAAGAGAAAAAACAAACGAAGAACTTCTCGAAGAATTTGAAGAGGCTGCATATCGAGCAGCATCAGAGCGACACAAGGGAGAATTAGAGAAAAAAATACGTGAGAAACAAGAAAGGGAGCAACAGAAACGAAGAAAAGAATTAGAAGATCGATTGCATCAGCAACAACAGCACGAGCGGAGACAAAGTCCATCGATGTCTAATCATGCGAGTACGCTTGCTGAAAAAATAAAAATATAATATATTTGGACTTTACTTATAATAATGAATCAACATTTGTATATAATTTATATTGTAATTATTTTTGTTAATTTGATACACTTTCAAAGCTAAAGTGCAATAAATTTAATTGGTGAGCTTTATTTACCGAAATATTTGTTCATTTCGATGCATCACTCGAGAAAAAGATTTCATCCTATCGTGATCCCATTTTGATGGCATTAGAATCGATATGTGCTAAAAATTGTTAGAAAGGATGATAAGGAAATGGTTTCTTCTCATTAATATACATTTTGAGTTCAAACTTCATATCCAAATTACGATTCAATAAAAGGTTCTGGAAATTGTCACCTTGTACATACAAAAAATGATATAATTTCAATGGCCAAACCGTGTTCTCCCGGCTAAACTACTAAAATTATATATATCTAGGGTGCTTAAGTTGCCAGTTGTAACGAAATTTCCTTAACACAACACAATAGATACGTAATTATATGAGTCATTCTGAATATACCGATATATCAAAATAAATATTACAAATTCTAGGAATATTGGAATGTCGTATTTTCTATTGTTTGCATTTTAATTTGGCGAGGTCACTTACCAAGTTATTAATAAATAAGCTATAACCTTTGCGAATGCTAATTCAAATTCATGAAAGTATCTTTTTCGCCAAAATTTTGATCGAATAAATCCAGAAAAAATGAGTAAATACCGATACCAAATGATTTTTGTATTAAAAATTTATCATTATCAAAGAATAAGTAAATTTATTTGAATTTTCAGAAGAATTCTTTAAATTAAATCACCTTGCTACTAAAAGTATAATATCAACTATATATTCAAAATTCTAATTTGCTTTGATATTAAGTGATTATTTATGTTATATATTATTGTTATTTGATTTTGCAATTATTATGACTTGAAATTTTTATAATTTATTTCATTATATTGCACTAAAAAATGATAATATCAATATTTGTATAGTCATGCCTCTATAAAGCCAGTCACACCCTCCATACAGTCAAAGGTTTTCCGGATTCCCGTTACTATAAAGCATAGGAAATTTGACCTCCATATAATTACATCTTTATAGTCACACTTTTGGTGCTCTCGAGAGCGTGATTATATGAAGGTATGTCTGAATAAAAATATCAATATTATTTATTCTTTCTGAACACATATTTATCTTATTCTATTTCATATTTCTTTAGTTTTTTATATACTTTATTTTAACAACTTAGTTTTATAATTTTTTCATTATATTATTAGATATAAATATATAATTTAAATATTTTTTCATAATATCTTATTTAATTTTTCTTATATAAATAATTTTATATTATTTATATATAATTTATTGATTATTAGAAAGTATATCAGTAATAATATTTTGTAATTACTAAGAAGACCTATTAATTATTTAATAATTATAGCATTTATTAATTGAATAATTTATAAAATTATATTTTATAATCTATACTAGTTGAAAAAGAATGAAATTAATTTTAAAAATTCAATTTTATTAGACAAATATTATTAAAGGAAAAATAATTTTTTAATTTAATAATTTCTGAATAAAATAGTATAAGAAGAATAAAAATAGAAGAGAATCAGAAAAAAATAAAGAAAATTAAAAAACAAAAGAATAAAACTCAAAAAAGAATTAGTAATAATATAAATATAAATATAAAATTACATTATTTTATAGTAAAAGCATTTTATTTAACTCGAAATAAGACTAGAATAATAATTAAATATCAGAATTTCTCTATTTTATAATTGAAATATTTAATTCAAAAACTCAATAAGATAAATCAAAATAATATTAAAAATATATTTATATTTAACTTTTTGATTAATAATTAACTTAAAAAAATTCTAAATATTAAAATTCTTATATTATTAATAAGAATCTTACTTTTATTATTTAAATCATGAATTTTTTAATAATTATATAAAATGATTATAAATTAAAAATATAAATATTAATAAGTATTAAATAATATAAAATAATATAAAAATAATATTATAATTTAAATAATATTAAAGAGTTATCAAATTAATATTAAAAAAATTAAAAATAATATTAAAAATATAATCTTCTTATTATAATTCAAGAACTAATTATATATAAATAAAAATAATATTTAAATATTATAACTTAAGATATTTATTTTATTAATAATAAATAGAATTAATATTATATAAAATCAAATAAAATATCTTTAAATAATAATTTAAATTATATAAATTATTAATATATTATAATTTATTAATAATATAAATAATATTTCTAAAAGATACTTAGTAATTAATTAATAATAAAAAATAAAATAAATATTATAAATAATAATTATAAATATATTAATATTATTACAGCAAATTAATAAGTAGATTTTTACTTGAATTTATCTTAATAATATAGAGTTGGGAAAGACTGAATTAATTAAAGAATAAAAAGAGAAGAATAAGACTATACTTTTAATAATAACAAAAATTTCTAAGATCTGTATCAATATCTATAGATATTATCTTCAAAGGATAAAATAAATAAATAAATAAATAAATCAAAAAGATTATAAAGATTAACTGAATGAAGTTACTAATAATCAATATAATTCAAGATTTGAAATAATTAAATAGTAAAAGTACTATTAATTAAGAAGTCTATAACTAAAATAAAAATTAAAATATGTAAACTAAATAATTAAATAAAAATAAAAGATATAGCTCATTTATAGTAAAGATTTTCTACTCTCAAA